ATACTACGCTGCTCCCGTTCAGGCAAAAGTCCCTTTTGCGCAAAAGGGCCAGTGTAGACAGCTGAGATTTGTTTTACGCAAAAAAGCCCCGTTCGCGAAAATGGCGATCGGGGCTTTTTTGCGGAAAAGCGCGTCTAGATTGGCACTTTTCCGCAAAAAATGCTTTTGCGGAAAAGCTTCCGTGCCAATCTAGACGCTCTGTTCCAAAAATGCTTTTAACGGAAAACTTTTCCATTAAAAGCATTTCCGGAATGGTTAGAGCCGTCACATGGGAGGCTGAGGTTCAAGTCCCTGGCCTGCCTGATTCCAAGAGGGGCTTGTCGCAGGGTCTCCCGCCTCCCGTGTTTCCCGTTAGCCTCAGCGCTTCTTCTTGGCGGCGCTAACACTCCAATACAAAGAATCGTTGCATTTCCCGGAACCCTGGACTGCAGGCGCTGGGTCGTGGCGGAGCAGGACACGGCTGCCTGCGAGCGGCAGAGCGAGCAGCGCTTGGCTGTGCCCTCATTAGCTCACATGCTGGGACTGGATCCAGCTCAGGGAATCCGAGGCTGTAACGGCCGGGTGAGCAGCCCCTGCCGCCTGGTGACTGAACGGCAAGGCACAAGGAACCTTCCATAGCGCTGAGGGCTGCACCCTCTGGGCACACAAGGTCCCTGCCAGGTGCCATCTCCAGCATGCCCTTGAAGCAGTGCCGGCTGCAGAGCCGGCTGGACCTGGTGGGCAGCAAGAGCCAGGGTGAGAGGTCCAGGACACAATGGTTACCAGGAGCCCGCAGGCTGAGCACTCAGCCAAAGGGCCTGCCGGCTCCATCGTCTGTCACGGGCTGGCTCCAGCCCACGCTCGGCAGGGGAACCATGGCGCTAACCACAGGCCTAGCCTGGCACAGGGCCTGTGTGACAGGTTGAACCAGTCCTCCTCCCTCCTGTTCCCCGGGCTACTCTGCGGGCCAGCCCTCAGCGGGGTCCAGCCGCTGCTCACACACTCGGGTTAGCTCCCCCCAGTTGTCTCAGCATGCACAGGGCCAAGCCAGGTTACACAGCGTGGGGGGGGGGGTGTACCCCGTGGGGACACATGGGGGGCAGCGGCTGTGAGAAATGCTGTGGGGTGGACACAGCCCCACCCTGAGTTGTGAGCGGAGCGGAGGAGAATCAAATGAGTTATCAATGGGCGTAGCCAGAAGGGATATGTACCCCGGCCCTGCTCCCCAGTGGAACACTGGGCAGATGGGGGTCAGTCCCTGTGCCCCAGCTCCGCCCCCCAGCCAGACTGCCCAGCGGAGCATGGGTGGGCTGCTCTGGCTGCAAAGTGGGTGGGCCACGGCCCGCTCAGACCTGCCTGTGGACTAGCGTAGCCTTCCCGGCATGAACGGGAGTGCTGTGTGGGGCACAGGCCTTTCTCAGCCGCTCGCACTGAGCGTGGCTGAGCAGACAGCAGGAGCAGCGGGGGAGCCAGTCGGATCCCCCAGGCCTGCCCCACCCTCCACAGGAAGGTCTGAGAGCGCTGCAGGCCGGGAGACTGCACAGTCTTTCCCGTGGCCGGCGGGCAGCCCCCAGGGCCCAGCCCCCAGCCCCAGGCGTTCTCAGGTGCTCCCTCGGTTTTGTTATTGTAGGGTTGCTTCCGAGCCCGGCGTGTTCCGGAGGGAGGGGCAGAGAAACCTGCATGCGTTAGCATCCTTCCGCCATGCTGAGCCCTTCCTGCTGGACGCTGGCTGTTTGACCCGCAGGCTCGGATGGCTTCCCACACCGTGCCCGACACATGCTCGGCGCCCATTCACAGCCTGGACGGGACCACGTAGGTAGCATTTCCTACGGGCGCCCCTAGCCGCGGCTGCCGGCCGCAGTCTCCCGGTTCCCGAGGAGCAGGTTAACATTCATCCGGAGCCGGCACTGAGAGAGACGGCAGGACGGCATGCTCGCCGAAACCTGGCTCTCGAGGGGCTTGAGGATTAAAACTCCACCACAGGCCCCTCCCTGGCAGTGGTACGTCTGATCATCCCCCGATCAAAGAGCGGGGATCGTGATGAGCTGAGACCTACATCAACTGCTCCAAAGAAGATCTAATAATGGGACAGAGCCCTGGGATTCTGGTGGCCTGAGTCCCACCAATGGTGTCGCTGCCTTGAGCCGTGCCTCAGTTTCCCTGTTGTTCGGTGACGACCTGACATCCCGTCAAGTAGAGCCATTTCAACACAAAACTACACCTGGGAGCACAGGCGGGCAAAGCCAGGGCTGTAAACTCACACCGATCCCGGCGTGAGTAACTCGGCTCTGACCTCACGGCTGAGTCCAGATCAGGGGCTCCACTGAAGATAGGGCTTAGGGCCAGGACCTGTAATGCCGAGCCCCCAGCCAGCCCTGCCGTACTACAGGCTGTTATCTTCAGAGAAATTCCATGACACGTCGGGCTCTTGTGCAACCACGCGACAGGAGGCTAAAAATAGCCTCTCAGTTACAGGAAATTACCTGGGCAGAGTTACACAATTTCTGGGTCACTGTGCGGTGAAAAAGTCCCTCGAGCAACAAGGGCCATTCGGAGCAGCTGGGCGAGCCCCCGGGGCCGCCTGAGAGCATCCCAGGTCACAGAGAGGCTGGTGCGAATTCTTGAGCTGTGGCGCTCTCTGACCCCAGCATGGCCAGCGTGCGGCTCTGTGAATGCGGCCACAGCCCTTTTCTGACTGTCCTGGGGCCACTGGCCTTTCACCTAGCTAGTCAGGCTGTGTGTGTGTCAAAGCCCCTAGCACGCCGCACCTCGCAGCCAGGCATGCCGCTGCTTCCAGCCAGGCCTGGGGCTGCTCAGAGCCCTTCCCCATGGCAGAGCCGAGGCAGGTGGGGCCTACAGGGGCTCTTCTCCCAGTTGGGTAGCTGCTCTGAGCCGGGTCTGGCAGCAGGCACATCTGCTCCCTCGCTCCTACCTTGCAGGCAGGCCTGAGAGGTGGTAAAAGGCTTCTTGTCCTGCCTCAGTGCTGCCCCCAACTGGCACCAAGTCCTGTTCAAAGTCTAAGCTGGTTTCAGTTTTTCTTCCCACAAGGCTCAGCCCCAGAGCTCAAAGCCCCCCACCAAGGCAGGGCGCTGTCCCGATTTCCCCTTTCACATGGGGGAGGGACTTGCCCAGGGGCACCCCACAAGTCAGTGGCAGAGCCAGAACCTTGGCCAACGGCAGAAAGGCCTAGTGGTTAGGGCACATGCCAGTTGCTTGGGAGAGCTGGTTTCAGTTTTTCTTCCCACAAGGCTCAGCCCCAGAGCTCAAAGCCCCCCACCAAGGCAGGGCGCTGTCCCGATTTCCCCTTTCACATGGGGGAGGGACTTGCCCAGGGGCACCCCACAAGTCAGTGGCAGAGCCAGAACCTTGGCCAACGGCAGAAAGGCCTAGTGGTTAGGGCACATGCCAGTTGCTTGGGAGGCGCTGCCAGCACCGCTTCTGTGCCGCGCCGGAGGCGAGTGGACAGAGGGTCCTCTTTGGTCAGTGACCCACTGCAGAGCGTGGTTTCGGGAAAGCTGTAGGCTGGAGCCGGGCTGAGTGCCTTGTCCCAGGGGGCTCCCTTGTGCCGCTGAGGCTGGTGGCAGGACAATGACGGGAACCGGAGGACGCCTGGCGATGGACCAGAGTCGGTGCGTTGGGAATTAGGCCTGGCTGGTGGAGGAAATGGGAGGAGGGGCCAGTCTGCGTTCAGCCCCTTGCGGGGCTTGGCTCCTGACTCCAGCTGTGCTCAGTAGGCCATACCACCCGTGTCCTGGTTTGGGACACCACCTGCTGGACCCCACGGGTCTCTCCCAACAGCCATGAGTGTGATTATTTCACATTTACACTGCGGCACCACCTAGGGGTGCAAGGTGCTGCACAAAGCTTTGCTGGCCGGCCGATCGCTCCGGGCAGGGGCAGGGCCGGGGCCACGTACCATCGGGCACATGAACGAGAGCAGCCCGCCCCGAGCAAACGGCTGCACGAGCTCTCCCCGCAGGGAGGATGAGCGAGCCCTGGCCTGGGGCCAGCCAGGAGTCATGGATGCCGGGGGTAAGGGTGAGAGCCTGCAGCCTAGAACAGAGCGGAGCTGGGAGAGCGCCAGGCAGGGGGACAAATCACGTCCTCGTCGTGTCTGCACGTCCCTGGGCATCGGAGGGGTGTCGCTCTCCCCCTCCGATGGGTGGGGCTCGGCCTTGCACTCGCTTTGGGGGTTCCCCCGCATTTCTCGCGGCGTTGCTCTGTTCTCGGGGCGTCGCTCCCGCTACGTCCCTTGCCCCATGGTCACAGCTGGGCCCCAGCGTGGTCTGTGTCTGCCTGGGCCGTGGGGCATGCTCTGGGTGGATGGCGTGCTCTGCATGGGCCAGGATTGACCAAGCTCCCTCGGTCCCCACGGCTCCAAGCTCCAGAGATCCCAGAACCCCCCTCTCTGTGGCTGCTCTGGTGAGTTGCCTTGCGGCCACCAGAGGGCCTGGGGCTCCATCAAGGGCCCAGTTTGCTGGGGG